TATTGCCGTGACCGGTGCGGGAAGCTGGGAAGCAACACCAGGGTAGGTCGATGAAACTGCGCGGCCAGATGGCTGTACCTGGACCGCAGCACCTACGACAGTAGTAGAGACGGTAGGGGCGGTCATGGCCGGAAGAACTGCCGCAATGGACGGGGTGGTCTGAGCGGCAGCAACACTCGCCACCTCTGAGGGGGAGTGCTGGGCCTGGCCCTCAGAGGAGGGGGAACCATGGTGATTCCGTCTCTGGAGTCCTGGGGAGCCGGAATCGGAGCCGGTAGGGGAAGGGGTGTGAGAGCGATGGAGAGAGCGATGAGGGGATTTCTTGAGGTGGTTGACGTTGAGGGCTAGCACATTGATTTGCGCTTGCAATGGTCCAAGCGTACTTAGTTGTGCCTGGATTGCTATGAGGACGGCATGAAGGTCCATCGTGTCTGCATTGGCCTGATCATGAGCCGCTGACGGCGCGCTGACCTGGGGTGTGGACTGCGCCGCGGCGATCTCCTCGGATTAACTCCCTTCCATGGCCGGAAGGGGAATGGAGGTAGTCCTCAGAGGAGTGGGGGGGGAAAGGAGCCCACCAGTAAGAGGAAGGGGACCGCGGGAGCGGATTGAGTATGTGTGAGTCGGTTCGCCTCAGATTTTGCGGGTCGCGCGTGAGATGAAGGCGCCGAACCGCTCGAGGGGGGAGGAGTCGTCCAGGTCCAGGGTGCCCGACGGGAGGAGGCGGGAGAGTAGGAAGGGAGGCGGGAGTTAGGAGAACCCTAAACCCTAGAAAACCCTAAGAAAACCCTAACCGGAGTTTAGGTGGTTAGGGGAGGGTAGCGGCGACCTGATCAAGAAAAAAGATAATATGGAAGGGAGGGGGAAAGAAAATAGAATAAACAATAAAATTTCGAGATAAAAATAAAATAAAAGAAGAAATAAAAATAAATAAATAAATAAAATGTAAAGAGCGAGGGAAATGACTTATTTATTTTTTTGAAAATTTCGGCAGCATTTTCTTACCCCAACGGGGTCAAAATGTGCAAAGAGAAAGGAGAGACTAAGAGAAGCACACTCATTTTTACAATGCCGCAAATTAAAATTTTGAGAAAATAAGTAAATAAATAAATAAATAGATAATTAAATAAGGAGGTGGAGAGGAGTGAAGAGAAACTAACCAA